CCCTTTGAGGCATGGGGAACCTACGGGGAGGCCGAGGCCTCTGGAGACATGGGAGGAATCGGTGGAGGGAAGTCCGGGCCTTGCAGCAGGAGGTAGGAGCTCACGGAGGGCTGCGTGGGGGTCGTTGCCAGGCAAACCTGCTTTAGTCTTTCTGAACCTATCCCATGGGCCTAACTTGGGTCCCAGACCGTTCTCATAGGGAGAGGGTGGGCAGAGCACCCCGAGAAGCAGGAGAGCAGACCCGCCAAGCTCTTACACAGTGAGGAGCTGGGCAGGGAAAGGTAGTTCTGCGACCATGTTCCTGGGCACTGTGGGCCCCACGAGGCCCCCTGCCTGCAGTCCCTCCCCATGCTCCCTCCACAGGCCCCTGCCACCCAGCCAGAAACCTCCCTCCTCCTGCAACCTGCCAGCCCCACATCTCTCTTGCTCATCTCCTGCCACCTCAGGGTCCCAACTCTGTGGATATGGCACCAGCTACACCCCACTTCACACTGTTCTGCTTCTGTCCCCACTCCCGCCTCAATGTCCTGGAGGCACCCTTCAACTCACCGCCTTCCACCCATGGTCTGTGTCAGGTTGCGGGCTGGCCCCTGGGAACCCCACGACCTCCTGAATGCCCCGGACCTAGCAGGACAAGGACCCTGCCCTTGGTTCCTTTGTGCCCGTCTGAGATGGGCCAGGACCTGGAGAAAGTGGGGCGTGGGCAGAGAAACGGGAAACACAAGCAACTCCACATCTCAGATGCCAAGAGCCCTGAAATCTCCCTCCCAGCCCCTCGGGTCTCATCTGGGCAGCTGGTCTATGGCCCCCTCGCCCCAGGGCAACCCCTCCCCTGGAAGAGCCTTTGGAACTGAAAAGCCAAGAGCGAGCCCCAGAGCTTCTGCTATGGGCCAGCAGCACACCCCTGTGGGGCTGGAGAAAGCAAGTGGCGGGCTGCGCCTTGGAATGGGTAAAGGAAAGGAAAGGCAAGAACAAAACGCAAACCAACATTTTAATAAATTATCCTGCCACAGCGGCAAACTCACTGTGGTCGCTAGAGGGGCTATGGACCTGGGCTAAGCCTTACAAACCCATCATCGGGGAGGAAGCTGGTGCTCGCCAGTGTCAGGCCCAGCTGGAAGGACATGTTGGAGGGGCTCCCTGCTTGGGGGCCTTGATTCCAGGGTTCTCAACCTGGTGACCTGGGTGTCTTGTTTTTGTCCACATAATTTAAGTCAAACATTTACTTTGAGGTGGCTTCTTTGTAAAATCCAGATTCAAAGACTGGCCCAGGAAATCCACTCTGGCAGCTCCAGGCCTCTGTTCTGGCATGCCCAGAAGTAGACTGGCACCGAGTGCCATTGCCCCATCAGCTGTGCACGGGCTCCTTGCTGTGCTTCAGTCCTCACCACTCCTTATTGCCCCACTTTCTTTATCACAGCAGGAAGTGTTCCTCTGTACCCTTAGCCCTTCGAAACTGGCAGAATAGAAGACTTATTTTTCCTACAGTCAACCTGCCTCACTGATTTCATCACCTGCTTCACCTCTGTAGGTACTTGGGTTTGTAGCACCCTCCCAGCACTTCCCACGCACCCACCCCCCGAGCACTCAGGCCTCTCTGCACCCCCAACTGCTCATCCTCACTCTGCCCCAGCCTGGCTCCTGCCTGAGCTCTGTCCCCTGCCCTGTGGCCTTACTCCTGCCCTCTGACCCTGATACAGGTGTGCCTTTCTGGTTGGATTCTTGAGTCTGCTCAGAGATGTGACCAGAGCTTTTCTCTCACCCATGTGGGACATAGCGAGTGGCTGGACTCCAGAGACCAGCCATGGGCTCTCCTCTGCCAGCCACCACCCTGCCTGGGGTTCCCATGTTTCCCCCAAGGGAGAAGGGGCTGCTCACGATTCTCTGCTTCAGGTGACAACCACAACTCATATCGACTTTCTCAGAAGGAATTTCCCGACATGCATAAATGAGATGCACCTCTGTGGCCTGTGGCCTCTAGGATGTCCCTTGGGGGCCCTGCCACCTGGTATTCATGCTCTGGCTTAGTGCCCTCCCCTCCTCAAGGGTGGGCAGAACCGAGATTCGCTTATAGACTTCAGCTTCTGTCTCGGATATGCTCTGCCAGCTGCCTCTCTGGTCACTCACACCGCAGGAGGCAAGCCACGAAGTGTGCAGAGACCCGCTCAGTGTGGCAAGGAATCCTTGGCCCAGCAGCCTGTGAGGAGCCGAGTCCTGCCAGCAGCCTGGCGTTGAGTGTGGGAGCCTTCCAAGGAGATTGCCGCCCCAGCCCCAGCTTGCCAGCAAAGAGCACCCTGCTAAATTTGTGCTGGATTCCTGACCCACAGAAACCATGAGATTACAAGTGTCTGGAGTTTTTCAGGTCAAAAAGTTTTGGAATAACTTATTATGCACTGACAGATCACAGACAGACCCGTGAAGGCTGGCCTCGGGCCTGGGTGAGCCAGGTGGCCATGTGAGGTTGCCCAGCATTAACCTCTCACCAGCTCTGTGTCAGCTCCTTCCTCGGGTGGGGTCTCCTCCCCTGGTGGCAAGGGGGCTCCAGCAGCTCCAGGCTCCCAGGCTCACCCTTTCTGACACCTTGGCCCACTTTGGTCATGGGTTCCCCTGACCCAACATGGTGCTGGCAAGACGAGGTGCTGGGATGGCCAGGCCTGGGCCCTCCACCCCTGAGCCTGGGGTTCGACCCATATTAACAGACAAGAGGCTGGGCTGCTGTTGTCAGAAGAGTAACTGCAGCCACCAGGGCACTGGAGGGGACCGAATAGAACTGTCTGAACACATGCCACTTTGGACCCTGCAGGCAGACAGGTTCATCATGGAAAATACTCTCCCGACATTTGGGCTGGGAGATGGGACCTGGGGCAACAAAGCCTTTCCACTGGGGGCAGCCTGCGAGGCTGCTGAGCCGCGGTGGGCTCTGCACCATCCTGGGTGAAGTGGTCACCTGCGGCCTGTGTGATCACCCTCTGGATTCATGCTGGCAATCTTAGGCTGGGTGGGCACAACCACAGGCCCCAAACTCTCGCACCGAACCAGAGCCACACAGGAGACCCCCTTTCTTCTCTTTCCTCCCAAAGCTCATGCCCTGGAAGATCCTCTCCCCCGAGTCCTCTGTCCCAGCTGCGGCCCCCCAAGGATCACCACCTGGGGGTGGATGGACCTGCAGTGCAGTGTGGTGCGGATGCCGCGTCCCCTCCCTCTGTCCCTCCTGGGCCGGTCGGGGTGGGCAGAGCTGCACTACAGAAGCGAACGAGCCCTGCGCGCCCGCGGCTCACAACAGCGAGGCCTCGGTCCTGTTCGCACTGTGTTTTCAGTGTGAGTGGGCAGAAGACTTGGGCCTCATTGTCACTCAGGGACTGACTGGGTGGCAAAGCAGCTGCCACCTCAGCATTGCCGGTTCATATGGGAGATCTCTGGAGGGTCTAGTGTGCTCAGTTCAATGCTCCAGCTGGGAAGAGACGCATGTCACTTCTGCTAATAGCTGGCTGGCCAGAGCTGTTCGCACATTCCTCCCAGTCATGAGGTGGCAGGAGTGCCCCCCTCTCTCCTCCGTGGGCTCTCCATCTCTGTGCCAGTGTCCTGCGGGTCCTGGTCCCCAGACCTCCTGCTCCAGCCTGTGACTCACTTGACTAGGACTCACCCCAGCTTGTTAAGATAAGTAGCTTCATATCCCAGGAATGGCGGCTCTGTGCCTGGGACTTGGGATCTGGCCCACCGTCTTGTAAGGCATTGACCCAGGTAACACACAAGACCCCTGGCCCATGACCCGCCCTCCCTAGCCTTGAATCATTCTTCCTTCTTCTGGAACACCCTGGCTTACTAGCAATAGTTTCTAATCTTTGCTGCCTATGCACACGAAGAGAGACATGGCTATGCTTGATGGATGTATTTATGTAAGAGAAGAAACAGAACACCTCATACATTCTACCAAGGAGTGCATTTCTCTACGTTTATGGACATTTAAGGTATCTTTAAAGAGAAAAAGGACGTGCTCAGGACTCCGTGCTTGGAGGGAAACCTCTTCAGTAGTGGGAGCATGTGGGGAGAGCAGAAACCAGAATGCCTGGTGTAAGGACTTCAGAGAGAAAGGGAAGCGTGCCACTCACAGGAGCCTTGCTTCTGAGATGATACAGTGGTGTTTTACTTGGGGAGTCAGTTTAGGGCAGAAGGTTGAATATAGGCTTTGCTTTCAGGCTTTCTAGCTGTGCATCCTGGGGCAAGTTACTCGACCTATCTGAGCCTTGGGGTGCTTGCTGCCTCCCAAGGTGGTTGTGCAGATTGAATGAAAGGGTGAACACCCGCACTATGATGCAGGGTGGGCTTCCGTGCTCCAGTCCTGTGGCCAGCTTGCTATCAGGTATGCATCATGATACAAAACAGAATGTGGTGGCACCCAGTGGCCTCCTGTCGGTGTTCCTGAGGGAATTATCTCTATGCCCCTGTTCCTTATGTAGCTCATTTGCTTTATCTACTGCAGTTTTTTTTCTCTCTCCATTGTCATTTTCTGTGAATCCCTTCAAACGGGGAAAACAGGATCCTCCCTTTTCTCTGGGTCTTCCTGCCTTACTGGGAGTCCCGTGTTCTTGGCCCTGGGCCCTGCCAGAGCCATGAGCTCTGCAGGGTGAGGTCTGAATTGCACTTGCCTCCTGTGCGCAGCCTGCACGGACAGGACAGGTGCCTAGTGGAATGCAGGAAGCCTGGGAGAGGGCGGGCTGATGGGCCTCTGGAGGCCTCTGATGGCCTCAGAGCTCTGCTTCCACATCTCAACCAAAAGCTTTGCAGTGGGTGTGGGGGGGAACTCGCGCACGTTTGCAGCCGGGGCGTCATTCATCCATTCAGAAGAACAGAGCCATGTGGGAGGGAGGTCCGCAGAGGGACCAGGCATGGCGCCACCCAAACCAGGTCCCCAGCAGGGGCCTGTGAACTCTGCAGCCTGCTCAGGCCCCATCTGGCCACCAAACGCTAACCCCTCTCCTCCGTCTCTCCCACCCCTGCAGTCCACGAGCCTCATCGAAATTGGGAACCCCTCGCAGAGCCTGGAGAATGTCTGCCGCTGGGCCTACCTCCAGCAGAAGCCGGATACAGGCCATGACGAGTACCATGATCATGCCATCTTCCTCACGAGGCAGGACTTCGGCCCCTCTGGCATGCAAGGTGAGCTTCACCCTGTGGGGGTGCAGGAAGGAGGGAGGCTGGGCGTGAGCACCTGGCCTTTCTAGTGGCCCTGGCCCCGACGAGATGTGTCAGGGCAGTGGGTGCTGAGGCTGCCCAGCCCAGTGAGAGCCTGGGGGAGTGCTAGTGACCTCCTGGCTCTCAGAAGCCACCAGGGCCTCTGACATTTCCCCTCGGAGACGGCATCCCCCTGGGGAACAGCAAAGATCTGACGAGGTGACCCAGGCAGGGTCTGGGGCTGGCAGCCCCAAGTCCGGGCAGAATCTGAGGCTAGTTTTCAGAGTTTGCTTTCCCTGATTTTGGGAAAGCAAATTTGAGTAAGTTTTCAACCTTTAACAATTAAGTGATCTTACTTAAAAATCCAAACTATATAAAACTGAGAGATATCTAAAGGAAGTTGACAAGTCTACAATCATAGTTGAATATTTTAACACACTCTCCTTTGTAACTGATGGGACAGCAGATAAAACCATCAGTAAGGATACAGAAGACTTGAGAAACTTGGCCTAATCGATATATATAGACTATTGCCACCAATCTGTTCTCTGTATCTATGAGTACTTTGGTTTTTGTTTTTTTAGTTTTTTAAGATTCCACATATAAGTGAGATCATAAAGTATTTATCTTTGTCTGACTTACTCCTTTATCCATCTGTGGACACTTAGGTTTCCCTATCTCTGCTATTGCAAAAGGGATTATTTTCTTGATTTCTCTTTTTGATAGTTCGTTGTTAGTGTATAGAAATACAACTGATTTTGTATATCAATTTTTTATCCTGCAACTGTACTGAATTCATTTATTAGTTCAAACAGTTTTTTGGTGGAGTCTTTAGAGTTTCCTAGGTATAATATCATGTCATCTGCAAATAGTGACAGTTTTACTTCTTCCTTACCTATTTGGATGCCTTTTATTCTTTTTCTTGGCTAATTGCTCTGGCGAGGCCTTCTCATACTGTGTTGAATACAAGTAGCAAGTGGGCACCCTTGTCTTGTTCCTGACCTTTCAGATTTTCATTATTATGATGCTAGCTTTTTGGTTTATCATATATGGTCTTTAATGTATTAAGGCACATTCCCCCTACACCCACTTCATTGAGAGTTTTTATTATAAGTGGGTGTTGAATTTTTTCAAATGCTTTTTCTGCTTCTATGGACATGAGCCTATGTCTTTATATATGAACATCATATTTGTGGATGTTTTGGATCTTAAGTAGATCTTAGATCTAAGATATGAAAGGTGAAATAATAAAACTTAAAGAAGATAATATAGGACAGTATCTCCATATTTCTTGGAGTTAGAGATAATTTCTTTACAAAAGAGATAAAAAGCACTAACCACAATGGGCAAGATGAGTAGTACCATATTAACATTAAAAGCTTTTATTTGTTAAAGGCACTATTAGTCCACTGGGGGAAAATATTCCTAATATGTCTAATAGAGAACTTATATATGAAATATATGAACTCTGACAAATGTATTATAATAATAATAAGCAAACAACCCTGTAGAACAATAGACAAGAAACTTTATCAGGCTCTAAAAAACCTGAATGATCAATCAATAAATACATGAAAGGTGCTCAGCCTCTGTAGACATGAGGGAAATGGATGAAAAGTGAAACAAGACACCAGACACGCCTAACAGAATGGCTAAAATTTAAAAAGACTGAAAATACCACATTTTAGTGAGGATGGGGCTGTTATTCTCATGCTCCGCTGGTAGGAATATAAATTGGTGCAGCTACTTTGGAAAACTGTTTAGCAGTATCTAAAGCCCAGAGTACATGTCCCAATAGCTACACACTCCTAGACACACACCCAACATGTGCAGGCACGTGTGCCCACGTGTGCATTATGCAGGGATGTTCTTCGCAGCATTACATGCAATAACTCCTAAATAGAGTACCTTAAATCCATGAAGAGGAGAGTGGGCAAAGGAATTGTGATATATTCACACAGCCAGGAAAAGTAGTACCATTGCACATCACACCATGGATGAATCTCAAACACTGAACATTGAGTGGAAGAAGCCAGGCAGAGAAGAATGTGTACTTCTGATTCCATTTATTTCCAGTTTGGATGCGGGCAGAACTAATCTGTGGTGTTAAAAGTGAGGAGAGTGGGAGGAAGGGGAGTCTTGCCTGGAAGCAACAAGAAGGGGTTCCTGCGGTGCTTGTCAGTTTTATTTCTTGGCAGGGGAAGTGGCTACCGTGGTGTGATGCCTTTGTGGTAATTCACTTGTTGTATCCTATGACTTATGCCTTTTATATTAAGTGGGCTCAACTTTCATTTAAAAAGGTGAGAGGTCCACCAAGGATTACCAGACATTTTTTTTTAACTTATAATATGAAAAAGATGGGCCTAGATCCAAAACAAAATTGGAAAACTGACTCCAGAGGAAACAGGTAATTGAGAGAATGAACTTCTTAAAAGAGGAATATTCCCAGAACCTTGGAGGAAATACAACCCTGAACGCAGAACAGATTGCGAGGAAGAATTGGAGAATAACAAAGAGTTTTCTTATGAAATTAAAGATATGAAAATTCAAAACTGAAATAGAAAGTCAAGAGTATCCAAAAAGATTAAAATATGAAGGAAAAGTTAGGAGACATGGAAGCTGCATCCAGGAGGTACAGTAACTATCTAGTAAAGCTTCCAGAAAGAGAGAACAAGAGCAAAATACAGTAAGAGAGAAAGACACAAAAATAATGATAAAGATACTTTTCAAATCTTCAGATCAGAAAGGCCCAAGATGGAGTGAATGAGAAATACTTGCACTGTAGCACAATCATGAGCAAGCCTGGCACACTGATTTGCTTGGGTACACTGACTCAAGAACAATCATCTCAAAATCTGCAAAGCAAAAATTAAGATTTTCATTTTCATTTTCCTATTACAAGGGGAAAAGACATAGTTAGATTACTATGCTTTCACAAACAAGTCTAAATCCAGCACACCGGAGGGCTGCCATGACCTCCTGTTTTGCTCTACTTTCCCCTTGAACAAATTGCCTTGAGGTCCTCCCTGGGGGTCTGAGAGGAGTGGGTGGGGCTGGGTCAGGCTTCTGAGCGCTGATCGGGGCTCCTCGCTTGGTGGGCCTCAAGGGAGACCCCGGACATCTTGGTAGAGGCCCCCTTTGGCACACACAGCTCTGGATGCACTTCTTTATCTCATCCAGGGGCCAGGGGCGTGGCCGCATTCTCTGGTTTCCCTCAGTTTTGGGTCGGGTCTCAGCATCATGCCCTCCCCTTGCATGGGAATGCCACCCTGGAAGGCTCCCCTTGGGACATCTGAAGAGACCTTGTGATGAGCCTCGGCCCCCCTGGGCCTCAGCTGCTGCACAGGCCGGCCGCCTGAGGCCTTCTTGCCCTCCTGCCTGGGCTGTTCCGGCTCAGTCCGCAGTCCTCCCCTCACTCTTGTCAGTCTCCGGTTCCGACTGCTTCCTTTGCCACAGAATCTCTGGGTTGGCAAAATGCCCTATGTCTCCTCACTGTTGCCTGCGATTCAGTGGTTCTTGCAAAGCTGCTTGACTGGGGTGGGGGTGGCCAGAGGGCCCTTGGGCATCTTTACTGAGGGATACGGCCTGCTGCAAACCCCTTCCCACTCCCACTCCCCACCCTCTGCCCTGGGGGTACCTTGCCCAGTCTCGGCTCCTTCCTGACATACCTCTGGAAGAGGGGAGCCCTTTGGCAGGAACGTGGCTCAGAATCTTCTGGACTGGAGGGAAGGGTTTGCTGGCCGAGGGCTCCTGGAGGCATGTCGCTCCTTCAGGCCCCTCGGCCGGTCCCATCAGCATGACTCAGGGAACAGCCTGGCGCCTTGGCTCTCGCCACCCAGCTCTGCCCTGAGCGGCTTCTGGGCGTAGCGTCACTGCAGGCCGCTGTGCACTGTGGCCATGGGGGCTCACCCGGAGGAGCAGGGAAAACCCTCCCCGGGGCATAGGCTCAGGCCGCGATGCCAGGCAGACAAGGGTCCGGGCATGTGCAGCAGCAGGGGGAGGTGGGGACAGCAGGCTGCCTGGGGGCCAGAAGGTCACTGGCTGACTGACTGAACAGGGAAGATAGGCGACACGAAAGGGGATGGCAGGGAGGAGGCTGCTGAGGTGGCAGAGTCCTTGCGGGGAGCCCTGCCATTGGGGAGGACCCAGGTGCAGAGCTGAGGCTGCTGACCAGGCGGGCATCTCCTGAGCTCTGCCAGTGGGCACAGTTGGCTCTGCTCTTTTGCTCAGGGGCAGTGGAGAGCTTTGGGGCCAGGGCCCCCGACTCAGGCAGGGCTTGGCCGGGGAGTTGGAGCTGCCCTTTGTCTCCTCCCAGGCTACGCCCCTGTCACCGGCATGTGCCATCCGGTCCGCAGCTGCACCCTGAACCACGAGGACGGCTTCTCCTCAGCGTTCGTGGTGGCCCACGAGACCGGTCATGTGTGAGTGGCCTCACCGTCCTTGTGGGGGAAAGGTCCAGGCCCAGAGGAGCCCCACTTCTCCTCTGTGCCCCAAGAGGGCCATGCCCTGGATGGAAAGCTCTCCGTATGTGCTGACCTCCCAGCACTGTGCAGGGCTGGCCTGAGTCCCCTTTCCGCTGAGGGAACAAAGCTGAGGGAGGAAGCACATGAGCGCTGAGTGGGTGCCATGGAGCCCCTGGGCTGGGGGCTCCTTACCCATGTTACAGATGAGTGACGGGGCCTCTGAGGGAGCCTTGTCCAGAGTAGAGCTGGACCCCGTGTGGGTGTGCATTCCCAGATATGACCTGTGCTTTGGAGCTCAGGGGTTGGGAAACGGCACAGGGCCCCAGATCTGTGCAGGGATGTGTGCCCACGCCGCTGAGTGTGAGGGGAGGTGCCCGGAGACCCAGGGCCGCGATGCCTCCGCCTCCACGCGCTGTCCCGAACCAGGCCCCACCTGGAGGGCAGGATCCTGAGGGGCTGCCGCTGGGCACAGTCTCCCCAAGTGCCCCTGGCTCTAGGAGTCCAGTTGGAGGGAATGGGCACCACCTGGCTCGGGGGCATGCTGGCGGGTGGAGCCTCCAGGTCGTGCAGGCAGGTGACCTCCAGCCAGGCCACCTCGGCTTCCCGCACAGGCTGGGCATGGAGCACGACGGGCAGGGCAACCGCTGCGGCGATGAGGTGCGGCTGGGCAGCATCATGGCGCCACTGGTGCAGGCAGCCTTCCACCGCTTCCACTGGTCCCGCTGCAGCCAGCAGGAGCTGAGCCGCTACCTGCAGTGAGTACCACCCGTCCCCGAGGACAGCCCGCAGCCCCACCCTCAGCTCCAGGAGGGTGCATGGCCCCCGTGTGCCCAGAGCCCTCAGAACTCGGGTCCTCCAGCCTTACCACAGGGGAGGGGAGGGGAGAGGGCAGTGCAGGCCAGTGTGGCAGGGTGGGGGGTTCCCACTGTTAGGGGGCCTGACCTTGAATGGAAAGTGGGCACAGCAGCCCCACCTTTCACGGAACACCTGGATAGCTTACACGAAGAAAGAGATGCAGCAGGGAAACTGAGGCAGCACAGCAGACAGGCCGGCCACCATGGCTCCAGAAGGGGCTGCGGCTGCCTTACTGGCTGGGTGGCCAGTCCCGCTGAAGGCTGCTTGCGGCGCCCGCGTGTCCCCTCACAGCTCTTATGACTGCCTGAGGGACGACCCCTTCGCCCATGACTGGCCAGCGTTGCCCCAGCTCCCGGGGCTGCACTACTCCATGAACGAGCAGTGCCGCTTCGACTTCGGCCTGGGCTACATGATGTGCACGGCGGTGAGTGTCAGCCTGTGGCACCCGAGCGGCCAGGGACAGGAGCCTGCCCTGGACCTGAGAGGTGGCTGGTGTTGGAGCGCCTCCTGCAGGCGGGTGGAGCGCCCTCCAGAACAGCAGCATCTCTGGCTGTACCCACGGCTCCTCAGCCAGCCAGCCCCCAGTGCCCCAGACCTGGCCCTGGGCAGGGAGCATGCAGGTCACAACGGCTGTGACCAGGGAATCAGCAAGGGACGGCAGGGGCTGGAAGGGTCCCGTGATGCCCGGAGAATTCAGGAGGCTTCCCCAAGGAAGAAGTGAGGCATAAACGCTAAGTGGGAGGAGAGGACATCCCAGAAGGCAGGGATCACATGTGCACAGACCTGGAGTGAGGGAACATAGCATGCAGAGGAGCAACCAGTTGTTCTTTAGGGTCGAGTTCCACGACAGAGCCATCAGCAGGAAATCAGATCATCAGAACTGAGTGTATCTGCTGATTGAGGTCCACGCTGTTTCAGGCAGTGTGGCAAGAGCTTTAGTGTCTCTTATGTTCTGACTCAGTGTTCATCTCCACTGCATGAAGTAAACAAGCAAAGTATTCCCATTGTACAGGAGAAAACTGAGGCCCAGAGAGGTTAGGTAATGTGCCTAAGGCCACACAGCAAGCAAATGGTGGGCCCAGATACTGATGCAGGCAGTCTGACTCTTGCATGACTGCCTAAAGAGCATGGTGGGGTTCACTCATGGGGATGGGGAGCTCTGAAAAGGTTTGAAAGGATGAGTGGTATGGCCAGGTCTGAATTTCAGCTGGATGCCTGGGGGATTCCCTAGAGGAAGGGCTGTCAATACAGGAAGAAGAAAGGCCAGGGGAGAGGTACCTGTGAGGTCCAGCGGACAGAGGCCAAGGTGGGAGCAAGTGCAGGGCATGCTGGAGCAGAGGGAAGGGCTTCAGGAAGGCTCCAGAAGGTCCTCAGCAGGGCGACAGCAGGGTGCCCACAGGGCCCTACAGCAGCAGTCGCCCCCAACCCCCAGCCATCAGCCACTCCTGGGGCAGAAGGATGCCCACCTAGCCTTATGCCAAGTATGCTGCTCCCAGCTGTGTGTCTGGGCTCCATGGCAGGTACAATGGCCAAGGCCTGGAGGCTGGGGGTGCCCAGCAGCCTACAGGGATGTGAAGCAGCCACTGTGCTCTGGAAGTTCTCAGCCTCAGAGTCCCAGAACTCAGGGCACCACATGGGCCTGGCACAGGCAGCCAAGCCATGCCTGGCTCCAGAGCTGTTGAAGAAGCCTCCCGGCGTGGGGGTAGCACCCCTGGAGGGTCCCTGCAGTGGAGGCAGCCTGGCAAGCTGCTGGTGCTCTCTTTCAGTTCCGGACCTTTGACCCCTGTAAGCAGCTGTGGTGCAGCCACCCTGACAACCCCTACTTCTGCAAAACCAAGAAGGGGCCACCCCTGGATGGCACCATGTGTGCACCTGGCAAGGTGAGTTGGGGCAGAGGGAGGCACTGTGGCACACACAGATCTCCAGGGGCAGTCCCTACAATTCCCTCGGGTCTGCTCGCTTTCTGATAACTCCCCACATGCAGCACCCCAGACCTCTGTCCAGGTGCCGGGCTGGCGGACTCACCTTGCCCTCCCTGCCTGAGCCAGGATCAGGGCAGCAGCGGGCATGCAGGCCCTGTGGGGGCAAAGGTGGCTCCTGCATCTGTGCATCTGCTGGCAGGAGAGTGATCCATGTGTTCTGCATGCAGCATCTTGGGGAGGCAGTGCACACCCCAAATTTTCATGAACTCAGTTTCAGAGACCGTGTGCCCAGCATAGAGAACTCCTGATGCCCTCATTCCCTGTCATGTGTCCCTGCAGAGTTGACAACTGGCAGGCAGGCGTAGTGACAGGGGCAGCCCAGCGTCTGGGCACAGAGTTCAAGGCCCAGGTCTCTCCTTCCTCACCGTGACCTTGAGCCATCCTTTCCCACTCCCACAAGTCACCTAACCGTCCAACTGACTAATCCCTGCATCCCAGGCTCCTAGCACATGGTCCCGCTCGGGACGTGCTGCCGGATGGAGAAGGGAAACCTAGGACCATAGTGGGTCAAAATGATAAACATGCCATTCCTGAAACAGAACTGGCTGCCTTTCAGCAGCTGTCTGACCAACCGGCAGAGTTCCCAGCCCCTGCTCGGGCACCTGCGCTGTCCATGGTACTTACCCGTGCCGCCCCTCCAAGTCTGCTTCGTGATTATGTGATGGGCTTTGAATTCGCTCTGGACACACGTGACCTTGTGCTTTTAAATAGCCTCTCTATTGGGTGAAACATTTGTAGGTATTTGAACATATGTCTTTAAAGCATTTTAATAACATTAAGCATGTTTCTTTTATAATAACACTGAGGTATCAGAGTATGAAATTCTTCAGAGAAATTATACTCTGATAAATGCTCAGTCATCTGGGAGGAAATAAGCCAAATTCTTGGAGAGGCGGCTTCTGTATGGTGGGATTAAGGGTGATTCGCCTTGCTCTTTCTTCATATTTTCTACAGTGTGGGTGTATCGCCTCTGTGTACGCAGGCCTGAGTCTGCAGAGGAGAGGGCGAATCACACTGTGGGCCTGGGAGGTGTCCTGAGTTGTCCCATGCCCAGCTCCCCATTTCCAGGCTGGGGACCAATGCGTCCCACAGGGACAGGGAACCACCATGGGGCCTCCCCCATCCTCCTGCCCCCTTGTTCCCATGGCTACCAGTGACCTACAGGCTGGGCCCCAGTCACAGCCTTCAGAGGTACCAGGAGTAGTTGCTCACTCCCTATCTTAGTCAGCTTCCACTGCTCTAAAAAAAATACCACAGACCAGAGGGTCAGAAACAACAGGTTTATTCCTCACCATTCTGACTGTTCTGGAGGTTGGAAGTCCGAGATCAGGGTGCCAGCATGGTCAGGTTTTGGCAAGGGTCCAGCTGTGGTGAGGGTTAGACTGCCTACTTCTTACTGTGTCCTCACATTTCAGAGAGAGAAGTCATCTGTCTCATGTCTTATAAAGGCATTGATCCCATTCATGATGGCCCCACCCTCACAACCTAATCACCTCCTAAAGGTCCCATGTTATCTCATCAGGGGGCACTTAGGCTTCAACATGCAGACTTTGGGTGGACACAAGCATGCAGTCCACAGCATTCCCCCACCTAGGCCCTCTTCCCTGCCTGCAGCCCCACCCTGTCCCACCAGCTACAGGGGGACCAGCCAGTATTCCCCTGGGTTCTTGCCTTCCCTTCCATGTTCCGGGATGAGAGACCAACTAACTGTGCCCAGAAGGACATGAGCAGCATTACGGGGGGAGGAGAGGACATCCTAGAAGACCTGCCTGTCCCTGGGTGATTCTGGACGGTGCTTGCCAGAGCCATGTGCCCAGATGCCCAGTCTGATGGTGGTGGAGCCCTTGACCACTTGCTCAAAGCCCAGAAAGAGAATCGAGAGAGTGGCAGCCCCTGTAGCAGCCCACGAGGGCTCAGACTGGTACGAAGGCAGGCCTGGGGGCACTTCAGGTCAGGAAGGGTGAGAGGCCTGTGTGAGGAAGGAAGAGGCAAGGTGGCTCCCAAGCCAAGATGGCCACAAAGGGAGGCCAGGAAGTGCTTATCTGAGAGCTGAGAACCAGGAGGGATGCACGTGCATGGGAGTGACCAGGCCTTAGAGATGGGAGCACGGCTCCCCTGGACATGGGCTCTGAAACAGGCTTTTTCCTGGGGAGTGCTCTCAGGATCAGCGTCTGTGGAGAGAGGGAGACCTGGAGCAGCGATGCAGCCATATCGCGGACTCAGCAGACCCCGCCTGAGGCTCAGGGCTGGCCTTTCAGAGTTGTCCCAAACCTTTTCCATCATTGGATATGTCTGTCCCCGGGAAAGGGGCATGAGTCTGAGCTAGGCCGCTCTTTGGCTAAGGCATTTCCTGGAGAGGGACTCAGCTGTGAGCCACGAGCAGCCTACACACTTGGCAGCTGGGGGAGTGAGAGCCTTGATCCTGAGGGGGCAGCTCTGGAGCGCATGGGCTAAATGGGTGTAGGGGACGGGAGGGGGAAGGAATGGGAGCGATGGGCTTCCCAGCAGTGGGGAAGAAGGGCGGAGTGCCTGCCGGAGGGAGCAGGTGCTGCGGGGCCTGGCGCGGTGGCCAAGCTGAGGCAGGAGGCAGACAGGGCATTTGGTGCCATGCCAAAGGGCTAGTCTAAGTCCTGCCACCACGGAAGGTTTGAGAGGGCAGCAGAGGTGGGCTTACAGTGAAGCCTATGGTGCATAACCTTTGGGGCCCCTCACTTGCTGGGAGCCTTTCCAAGGCCCTGGGAAGGAACTCACCATATCCTATGTTTTTATAAATTTTTTAAAAGTAAGGTATTTTAACCATAACCAAATAAGGCAACTTCTCTTTCCACTGCTGCTTCCCTCTGATACATTTCCTCTGCCAACTGGCATTAGGGTCACTGTGGGGGCTTTGTGGTTAGGCTGCGCAGAAATTGGCAATGAGTGTATTTGTCAGCTTGTTTACATAGTTCTCAGTATCTTCTTTGTGGATAGTTCAGTTATTATATTTGTCCAGGTATAAGAATAGCTTCTGGAAATACTCCTGCCACCACTGTGCCAACTTACACATGGTCACTGTGGTATATGGACTGTGTGCAGCCCATTCTCCTCAAATCATTGGAGAAAAATCCCCAACTCTATCTGAGATGCAGCTGCTTCTACAATGACAATGGTCAACGTTTCTTTCGGGGTTTTTCTTATAAATGGTCTACTTTAAATAAAGATCCAACTTGGATATTTCTTCAGAAAGGCTGAGTGTAATAAGATGGTCTGCTTATTAAAAAGCTCTCCATGACCCACAATGTAAGTACTACAAAGAATAAGCCTGTCAAAATAAATTTTCAAAGACCAGGAAAGAGTCCTGACTGCAAGTGGGATGCAAAAAGTTTATTTAAAATGTTGATAAAGCTTTAATACACCGGTTGAACTGCACGTTTGAGTGTTGTTTTGGAATGCTTCGACAAAACAAGGAACAAATTGCAGACTTCTGATTTGGATATATATATAAAGGTGCCTTCATTTATCACATACAAAATTTATTAAAGAAAAGTCCAGATAAAAATTAATGGAAAATAAAGTTAAAGAAAAACAAGTAGAGAAATCAGTAGAAATAACTCTGACTTCAAAAATTTAATTTAAACATGAAAAGGGTTTCAGATCAAATCAAAAGCAGTCACTCATTAGGAGGAAGAGATAAATGTCAAAGAAGAGTGACAGACAGGCTCTTGAAATGCTTGATAATCCAATTAATGAAGAGGAGTGAATCAGGTGAACACACTGGAAAAGCATTGAAACTTCTGCCTTATTTGACGCGAAATATTGACATCATCAAAGACAAATGAAGCTCATAAAATTGCCCCCATGAGAATGTCAACAGCAGCAGTTACTGAGCGTTGCTGTCCAAGAATATTCCCTATTCCTCTGTCCAGGGAAACTTGAAACACCCTGAAATCCACATCAGGAAGCAAATTGGAAGCAGTTTCTCCAAATTTGATCATCTCAGTGTTCACAAGACATCACCAACAACTTCTCCAAATTCTCGATAATTTTAAAAAAGAAAATATTTCCCTCAACAGGCTAGAACAGGGGTTGACAACTGCAGCACACAGATGAACTCCACCTGCCCCCTGTTTTTTTTCCTAACAGTTTTATTAAGATGTGATTCACATTTAAAATCACCCATTTAAAGTGTACAATTAAATGGTTTTCAGTATATTCACAGAGTTGCACAACCATCACAACAATCAAGTTTTAGAATATTTTTGTTACTCCAAAAAGAAGCCCCATGCCCATTAGCCCAACCCCATCTCCTCTTCAGGTTTCCCATCCAACCTAGGCACACCAATCTACTTCCTGTCTCCACAGATTTGCCTCTTCTGGACACTTCCTATAAATGGAATCATGTATGTGTCCTTTTGTGGCTGGCTTTATTCAGTTAACATAATGTTTTCGAGATTCATACATGTTGTAGCATGTATCGGTATTTCATTCCCTTTTATTGCTGAATAATAATCTATTATATAGCTGTGCTGTGTTTTGTTTATCCATTTATTAGTTGATAGACATTTAAATTGCTTCTACTCTTTAGCTATTATGAGATATTCATGTACAAGTTACTGTATGGATGTGTCATTTTTCTTGGATAAGTACCAATTATGGAATTGTTAAGTCTTACAGTTACTGTGTTTAACATTTTGAGAAGTTGCCAGATGGTTTTCCAAAGCAGCTACACCTTTGTGCATTCCAACTAGCAATGTACGAGGGGTTCTGATTTTTCCGCATCCTTGCCAAATAGTGTTATTGTCTGTGTTTTTATTATAGCCATCACAGTGGGTGTGAAGTCGTCTCTCACTGTGGTTTTGATTTGCATTTCCCTGGTGGCCTAAGATGCTGAGCATCTTTTCATGTGCTTAATGGCAATT